TTATCAAAAGGTTAACTCCTTCTCCTCTCTTATTTGTACTTCTGTCACGCCTGTAGCTTCTGTATCCTGGAACTTTGAGCTGCCAGTCTTGCCCTTCTTCCAGCCATGTTTCTGTTATGGCTATAATATCGCAGTCCCCAGAGCCAATCCATGCTCTGAGCTCATCTGCCTTACCAGTCAGGCCTCGTGCATTGAAATAAATGCACTTTAAACCAGAAGTCTTTTCCCTTTCTTTACTGTGCCCCTGACTATCCTGAATAGTAAACTTGGTCTTGATGGCTTATGTATTTTACCCTGACTTCTCGATTGCCCCTCTCTTATACAGAGGCTCCCCGCCAAACTAGTTTAAGCCCTCCCGAATAACACTGGCAAATCTCCCCGAGAGGATACTAGACCTGGTTCAAGTGCAACCCATCCTTCTTGTACAGGTCACCTCTACCCCAGAACAGATCACAATGATCCAAGAACTGAAAACACTGCCCCCTATACCAACTCCTCAGCCATGCATTCATCTGGCCTATCTTTCTTTTTCTGTTCTCACGGGCATGTGGCACTGGAGGTAATGTGAAGACCACTACCCTTTAGGTCCTGCTTTTTAACTTCTTACCTAACTCCCTATACTCATTTCGCAGGTCCCCATCCCTTTGTCTACCTATGTGATTTGTACTGATGTGCTCAATGACCTCTGGCTGTTTACCGTTCCCCTTCCTATTCCTTCTCCTTATATTCTTACAGTTTGATCTGATTTGATTTGATTTGATTTGTTGCTAGTAAACGGGATTCTCACACTCTGAGTGCTAGTAGCCAGCTAGCTAGCAAGCTAGACAAAAGGAAAGAGGACAACAAAAGGGCATTACCTCACTTTGAAGGTTTGTATTCAGTCATTGTCAAAATGAATCAAAACAACAGAAGTTCAACTAACCTGCAAAATGAAGGATCTTGAAATCAACTGCTCAACTACCAATGTCAACACTACCAGTAAGCTTCCCTGCAACAGCTGCAATTTTCAACTCACCGCTCTTTGTGATCAATTCAGATTTTGATCCTTTTTTAACATTTACCTTTTTGGATTTGCCTGTTATTTCTATCCTGTGTGTTTATGTAAAACCTGAAAGAACAGCGGATGCTGGAAATCAGAACCAAAAACAGAAATTGCTGGAAAATCTGAGCAGGTCTGGCAGCACCTATGGAGAGAAATCAGCATTAACATTTCAGGTCCAGAAAGGGTCACTGGACCCAAGACCTTAACTCTGATTTCTCTCCACCAATGCTGCCTGATGTGTTGAGCTTTTCTAGCAATTTCTGTTTTTGGTTCTGTGTGTTAGTGGGCTGTGTTGCTAATCCTGCTTATGTTTAGGAATTAATGAACTCACCCTTTGTTAACTCAATAAAACTTGCTTAAATTGACTTCTTTTAAAACATAACTTCCACTCAGTCCGGGAGATGGTTATCCAAAAGGGAAGGGATCTGCTTTTAAATGAACCTTGTTGCAACCATGGAGAGTGTAGGTGAATAGAGAAAGGGAGACACTTCATATTTCTTCATCCAGGAGCTCAATGAATTCTCAGCGACTCTCCAATTGGTGTTCAATAACATATTGGGGTTGGGGTATTGCGAGGGGATGTGGCTGATAGGTAATAGCAGCAGGAGATTTCCTTGTGGATGTTTGATCTAATGCCATGAGACTTCATGGAGTCCAGAGCAGCATTGAAGACTCCCAGAGCCATTCCTTCTCAAATGTACACATTGGATTGCAAAGTAGCCAATATAACCCTTCAAATCAAAAGAGAGGAGGGCAGAAAATAGGAAACCATAGGCCAGTTAGTAAAAACCGAAAGAACTGTGGATGCTGTGAATCAGGAACAAAAACAAAGTTGCTGGAGTTGCTGGAAAAGCTCAGCAGATCTGGCAGCATCTATGAAGAAAAAAACCGAGTTAACATTTCAGGTCCAGTGACCCTTCCTCAGAACTGATGGTGGCTGGGAAAAAAGGGGAGGGGAATGGGATAGGGAGTAAACGATAGGATACAGCCTAAAGAGAGAGAAGAGCAGTTGGATAGACAAAGAGTCAAACAAGAGGAGTGACAGTGAAATTAATGTCAGTGGGCAAGATGAAAGATTGGAACGGAAATCCCGTGGGAGAGAGGAGCAGAACTTCTTCAAGGTGGGCATGCCTAGAAGAGATGTGGCAGTGAGTTAAGTACTAAATAAAAACCAAAAAGGGAGGGGGATGGGGTAGGGAGTAAATGATGGGATTCCCGTTCCGTTCCAATCTTTAGTAGAATCAATCATCAAGGGAGTTATAGCTGATCACTTGGAAAAACTCAAGGTAATCAGGAAGAGTCAACATCTTCTTTGTGAAAAGGACTCATGTTTAACCAATATCATGGAATTATTGGAAGGAATTAACTGTGCTATGAATAAAGGGGAATCCATTGATATACTGTACTTGAATTTCCAGATGGCGTTTGGCAACATGCAACATAAAAGGTTACTGCACAAAGGAGCTTGTCAATAAGTAGGAGGTATCACACCAGCATAGATAAAAGATTGGCCGGTTGGCAAAAAAAAACTGAGAGTTTGCATAAATGAGTCTTTTTCTGATTGGCAGGGAGTGACAAGTGGAGTCCTACGATGGTCTATGCTGGGAACTCAAATTTTACAATCTATACAAAATGATTTAGATGAGTGGAACACTAAGCAAACAAAAAGAAACCCCAAAAAACTGCCGATGCTGGAAAAACTCAGGAGATCTGGCAGCAACTGCAGAGAGAAAGCAGAATTAACGCTTCAGATACAATGACCCTTCTCAAGAAAGGTGGTGACTGGACTGGAAACGTCAGTTCTGCTTTCTCTCCACAGATGCTGCCAGGCCTTCTGAGAACTTCTAACAATTTCTGTTTTTGATTTAGATGAGTGGGATGGCATTGTAGCTGAATTTGTAGATGAAACAAAGATGGGCAGTTAAGTGTGCTGCAGAGCTGATATAAGGAGGTTGCAGACCAACATAAATAGGTTGGGTCAGTGGACAAAAGTCTTGGCAGATGGAATAATGTGGGAAAATGTGAAGGAAGAATAAAAAAGCAAAGTATTACTTAAGCATCGAATGACTGCAGAACTCTGAGGTACTTAGGGATCTAGGTGTTCTAGTGCCTGGATCACACAAATTTATTATGCAGCTATAGCAAGTAATACAAAAGTCAAAGGGATGCTAATCTTTATTACAAGTGGAATTGAACATAGAAGTTCAGATGTTCTTCTTTAGTTATATATGGCCTTGGTGATACCAACTCTCAAGCACTGTGTATGGGCTTGGCCTCCTCATTTAAGGAAGAATGTAAATGCACTGGAGGTGGTTTGGTGGAGGTTTAGCTGATTGATACCTGGAATGAATGGGTTGCCTTCTGAGGAGAGTTGGATAGACAGGGCATGTTTATACTGGAGTTTCGATGAAGGGTGATTTAATTGAAGTGTATAAAATCCTGAAAGGTCTTGACAAAGTGGAAAGGATGTTTCCTCCTGTGGGTGAGTCCAATATTAAGGGGTACAGTTTAAAAATTAGTGGTCATCCTTTTAGGACAGAGATGAGGAAATTTTCTTTCAGAGGGCTGTGTGACTGTGGAACTCTGCCTCAGAAGGCAGTGGAGGCAGGTTGTTGAATATTTTTAAGGCAGAGGTAAATTGATTCTTCTTAGGAAAGGGAATGAAAGGTTTTCAGGGGGAATGGGAACGTGGCATTAGGAACATAAAGGGATTAGCCATTATCTCATTGGATAATGGGGCAGGCATGAAGGTCCATAAGGCCTACTTTTGCACCTAACTTTGATGTTCTCATGTTCATCGGGGAATGTAAAAATATTTCAAATCCCTCTCCAGTTACAACTGCACTGTCTCTTTGACTGATTTTTAATGCTTATGGAACAAGCCTTTTATTGTCCTCGTGCAGGACTGAAAATCATAACACTGTGAATCCAATATCCCAGTTGTCAGTTCACTGCCTAAGTAGTGCAACACATCAGTGAAAACTTGAGAATGGAAGTTTCCTGGATATGGATGAGGCAGGCTTTAGAGCAGGCAAGATGGGGAAATTGTACAGTCAATCATCAAGCAAGTTATAACTGAGCACTTGCAAAAACTCTTGCCGATCAGGAAGAGTCAGCATTTTCTATGGGAAAAGCAATCATGAGGGAACTCGATTGGCAGGTCTTTTGTTGTCGTTTTTATACATCTGGATTTGACTGTAGAAGCAACACCAGAACTATCTGAGGCCAGTGGTATCAGACCCTGAATCTCAAGAGAGGCAGATTGCCAGCTCTCATTCGGATAAATGATCAAAGGACCAAAGACTCTGTAGATGTTTCTTGAAGTATTATCTGTATTTGATAACTGCTGAACGGTGAAGCCAAATATAGGGAATGACTTTTACAAAAAGGTGTGTTGCCTTATCCAAGAATGTAACAGAGGCCTTGGAGTTTATTTTGTTCATTCACAAGATGAGGGTGTTGTTAGCTGGGCAGCATATATTGCCCATCCTTAATTGCTCAGAAGGCAGTTCAGAGTCAACCACATTGCTGTGGGTCAGGAGTCCCACGTAGGCCAGATAGATGGCAGTTTTTTTCTGTAAAGGCCATTAGTGAACCAGAGGGGTTTTTCCCCCAGCCATCGACAATAGGCTCAGGGTCATCATTAGATTCTCAATTCGAGATATTTATTGAATTTAAATTCCACCATCTGCCACGGCGGGATTCGAGCCTAGACCCCCAGAATGCTATCTGGGTCTTCGGGATTAAGAGCCCAGCGATAATTCCACTATGCCATTGCCTCCCCAATACCACAAGACCTTCGAGAGTTTGTTTTAAGATTAATTGTAAGATCACGCACCTTTTATCATCAGCACAATTAAGGAATGTGTCATTATATAATTGGAAATAATTAGATAATAGTTTAAGTGCAATAAATAAGATACGGATAATTTCCGCACTTTTCGAGGTTGATACAGCATTATGGTCAGTTCAGTGGACGTGCAGCTGGACAAATGTCTGAACATCTGGATGGACGCTGTGGACTTCTCCTGCCTCCCTCGTCACAGAACCCTGGGCTTGGCAGCGACTGTGAGAAACTGGGGAGGTCTCAGGCGGACACTACAAAGCGAGCAGGGAAGATCATGTCAGGCTTTCTCCGAGGGGGTTTCGGTGCAGGCGGTAGCGGTCGTAGCCTACTCCGGACCGGGAAGCAGCTCTTCCTCATGCAAAGAGCCAACATTTATGGCAAACCTCCCAAAGAAAAAATCGGCCCTGTGGTAAGTTCGTTTCCCCGACATCATGATGTCTGTCACGTCCACTCACACCAGTTGCTGGGAAAATCGGAAAAAAGAACCGCATAGAGCATTGAGGAAAGAAAATTTACGGTCGTTCTGTGGCGCTTATAATTTACAAAGTGCAAATCTCGCAAAACTCTTTCTTGTTTTATCTCTTATTTTTAAAATTTCTTTGCTTAACATCGAGAAATTACTTGGCATCGCTCCTTTTTTTACTAAATGCGCTTTTTGTCTGTTTAACTTCAAAACTGCCGTTTGTGTAAAACTGTTATGCATGTAAATTAACCCCTTCTTCATAAAAGACCGGTTACTAAAACTTTTGAGTGCTTGCTGCGTAATTTCCATGTACCATTTATCGTCAGTGATTTTTCGACTGCTCCATTACGCAAATTTCTGGATCTGTGAAACGCCAAGAAGTTTTATTAGCTTTCTAAGCGGTGGATTTTTTTCTCTCTCTCTTTACAGGCTTCTGTATTCTGTTTGTCAGTTTTTGCATTGACCCTTCTGGGACCAGCGGGCTGGATTCTTCATCATCTGCAAGAATGCCGCAAAAAAGATTAGGACAAACAACAAAGGATTAGGACAAACAACAATTCTTTGTGATCAGCGCACGGATGCATTCAGAAACTGCAATCTTTTTCGAACCTTTAGCTAAAAAACATCCCATGTTGATTGTGTACAATAAAATTGTCCTCTGCCTGTGGGCGCTGTACCTTTTGTCTCGAACCGCTACCCCCACCCAGTTTTGCCTTCTGAATGTGGCGACGTGTCTTCCCTGTTCTGTTTTTAGGTTTGTTTTCCTTTGTTCCTCTGGGAAATAAAGTTCCAGTGAAGAGTTGTTGTTAGTGTCTGTCTGTTCTAAAATACTTATTTAGAAATACAGGTCAGAAAAAAAAAAGCAATTCTTCCCCTGGCTGGACCAAATCTTAACTCCATCTGCCCATATTGGTTCGGTTGTCGGTAGTATCCTTGGTTTATTGGAAATGCTGTTTTGATCCATTACTAAAAACGTTTATGACCCTCAAAAAGCAAGATACCTTCACAAATCTAAAAACCAAACATCTATTTACTTCTATTTTAGAATCCAACTTCTCAAATAATAAGATAAACCTTCACCACAAGATCAGGAAGAAACACCACCAGTAAAAATGAATAAAAGAGAAGACGCTGGAGTCAGCATCTAAAGGTTGCAGTGCAATGTAACTTTTCCTTTCAGTTGCTGACCTCTGTGTGCCTGAAACATTTTCTGTTATAAAGACACGTTTTTAAACCTCGGGTATTTGAAACAAATACCTGTGTACCTATCTTTAAAATAGATTGTAACGATCATAAACTATGCTAATGCCTTGTTGCATTAATAAATAAATACTGCCATGTCTGCTTTAAATGCCTGCCTTCAATTGTATTTTAACATAGCAACCATATGGTTCCCACTGCACTATTTGAGAAGAGAAGAAGAATCATTTGAGTAATCTGGTCAGAATTTACTTCTCAATGCTAGAAAGCAAACTATTATTTTAACTCATTTAAGTTAGGTTTGTGGAAACTTGCTATGTGCAATGCTTGCAGTTGATTAGAATTGAACATACCGGAACCTAAGAATTATCTGACAATTTGTAAATCTTTTTGTTGACCATTCTTATGCTATCAAAACAGACAGGTCTTCTGAAATTCACACAACCATATTGACCCCCCATTCATGTGACGTAAACGTTGAATTTTGTGATAATTTCAAACCTGACTCAATGGTTGAAACAGTGGAACATCACACAGAATTTGTCAGTGGCCTCGATACATTGCTAAATAGGCTGCAGATAGTGCCTGACATGAAGAAGTGAAAATCTATCTCCAGCTTGTCATACTGATACTCATTAACCTTGACATCACAGAAAACTCGGAACATTATGTCCTGCGAAAACATTGCACATTATTACAACTTGATTCATTTATGTATATACACAAAAGTTAGAACTCACACAATATGAACTATTATGTTCAATGAATTGGTAAATTCTTCAAAAATTAATGTTATATATTCAATTTTAAAGTAGTGGGAGAAGTGCTTAAAACATAGAGAATCCTTGACTTGACTGAACTGGGCTCCTGCATGTGTAATTAGATAATTTATTTGAAATATTTTACCGCATATACTTTTATGATTCACCAGTGAAGCATGAGCAAAATAATTAACATGTAACAGCAAATCCACACAATGAACCAAATCTAATATATTTAATTATTTTACATCATTAAGTTAAAAGATGCATTTAAAATGTGTGTTCATAATGAATATTAAGCTGAAGTCTCTGATTTAGGACTAACTATTTCATATGACATATTAATTTTGCAGAAGTTATTGTAGAAAATTATACTCAAAGATGTAAAACTTGCATCTGTAAAATGATTTGAATTCGACAAGCTATTTGTTTATGACAATAATCAGCGGAGCCTTAAAGTTTTGAGCTAATTTGCTGATATTGTATAGTTATTCTCTGTGTCAATGAATTCTGCCAAAACAACTTATTTTCTAATTACAAAATGGAATGATACATAAAATCTTTCCTGATAGCACAAAGATTTTATGAGAATGAGTTGTTTCTCTGTTTTAAAGTGACCTTAATATAATATTAGAGAACACTGTTGTAGGGTGATGAACTGAACGCTTCAGAAAAAAGTCTTTCCAGATAACTTCTATTGCCCATGTTTCATTTTTTTATTCATTCATGGGATATGGGCAATTTCTAGCCTATCCCTAATTGCCCAGAGGGTATTTAAGGGTCAACCACGTTGTCGTGAAGATTTGGAGTGCTGTTTGTTATAATCATATTTCTAATGAATACTTATTATATCGATTTCACTTCATAATATTTTAAAAGAAAACACACAGATCTGGATAATGCTTTCAAAAGTACTTCATTAGTTTCAGAATAAACCAAAAAATGTCTCTTCTTGACAGCTTGTTTTTTTCCTTAATTATGTCTTGTACTGAAAACCTTAATCAGGCCATTTCCAGGTCATTTGAGAGTCAACCACGTTGCTGTGGATCTGGAGTCACATACAGATCAGAAGAGGAAAGGGCAGCAGATTTCCTTCCCTAAAGGACAATAGTGAACCGGATGGGTTTTTATAACAATGAACTAGCTTTGAATCCAAAATTTATTGAATTCAAAGAACACCATAGTGTCATAGAGTTGTAGAGCACGAAACTGACCCTTTGGTCGAACTTGTCCATGCAGACAAGATATCCTCAATTAATCTAGTCTCATTGCCAGCATTTGGCCCATATCCCTCTAAACTTTCCCTATTTATCTACCATCCAGATGCCTTTTAAAAGTTGTAATTGTACCAACCTCCACCACTTCCTCTGGCAACTCATTCACGCACAACCCTCTGTATGAAAACGTTGCCCTTATATCCTTTTATATATTTCCCGTCTCAACTTAAACCTATGCCTCTAGTTTTGGACTCCCCTACCCTGGGCAAAAAGACATTGGCTATTCACCCTATCCATGCCCTGCATGATTTTATAAACCTCTATAAGCTCTCAGCCTCTGATGTTCCAGGGAAATAACCTCAGCCTATTCAGCTTCTCCCTATAGTTCAAACCCTCCATCTCCGGCAACATTCTTGTAAATCTTTTCTGCACCCTTTCAAATTTAACAACATCTTTCCTATAGCAGGGAGACCAGAATTGAACACAGTATTTCAAAAGTGGCGTAACCAATGCCCTCTACAGCTGCAACATGACCTCCTAACTCCTTTACTCAATGCATTTACCAATAAAGACAAGTGTACCAAATGCTTTCTTCACTACCCTGCCTACCTATGACTTCAGCTTCAAGCAATTATGAACTTGCACCCCAAGGTCTCTTTGTTTGGCAACACTCCCCAGGACCTTACCTTTAAGCTTTTGGCATATGAACCCATATCGTCACAACTTTAGCCTGGGGATTTGGATTACCATTTCAGTGACATAACAACGACATCACTACCCAGATAATGACAGAGCTAGAGACAGCAAATTATTATCACAATCCTTGTTTGTGCTTGACATATACCCAGAGCATGCATTTATTACAATTCTTTTTGAATAGGGTTTATTGTGCACATAAGTTGCAAAGTTACATTTCATTGTTTTTGTATTTATGTTTTTTTCACAATTTTTGTTTTTGTATTGGAGGCACTGAATCTAACTTCTGTTGTCACTTCCATTTTTTTCTTTGACTACAAAGATTTTTGAAATACTGTCACATGCCATAAACAATATGGAAAACTGTTGGTTAATCCAAAAGACAGCTCAACAGATAGATCAAATAATTCTGCTTTGAGGTATTGTTGAAATACGTAATTTAATTTTATTTTTATTTTATTTTAAATGGATTTCAATTATTCATAAATTTGGAGACATGGTGGCTAGTGGTATTGTAACTGGACTACTGATCTGGAGGTTCATATCAATGTTCTGGGACACAGTTCAAATGACATCATGACAGCTGGTAGAATTTAAATCAAAATAATTTACAACAAAAATCAGGAATTGAAGAGCTAGTCTGAATCATGGTAATTATGCAACTGATTGTCGTGAAAACCCATCCTTGTCGAAATACAATTTGGCGTCTTTTTCAGATTTGGTCTATGTTTGGCTCTCAACTAACAATGTGTATTTGACTCTATGCTACCCTCTGAAATGGCTTAGCAAGCTATTCAGTTAGGGTCGGGCAACAAATGCTGGCCTCGCCTGTGAAGATTTCATCTCGCTAGAAGATAAAAGGTGATAAAAATAAGCAGGTTTATCTACCACTCCTGAACATTCATCATAAATTGAAAACATTTTTTAAAAACTCTGGTTCTGTAACCAAAATGGAGCCAGAGAATGGG